TTTTTTTGTTTGTTTTTTTTCCAAAATAATTTTGATATTTCCAAAAGCACATTTCTGTAAATCTGGATATCGTTATTTTTGAAAGAAAAAAGTGGAAGCTTGATGATATTGGAACTTAGGCAGTGAAGGGGTTAACCCTAACTGAAATAATTCAAAAGAAAAAGGAGAGAACTACTGCCTTAGAATAGATAAGGTTAAAAGTTAACTTTTAATGGTATGATTAAAATAGAATAAAGAAACAAATAGATATGGAAACTCTCAATACACCAAAGGGGAGTGTAGAGAGATGAAAGATGCACAAAAATAAGATGATTATAATCTCCAAATTGTTATAAATTAATCATTTGACATATAATCAACAGTTAAATAGTGTCTAAAAATTGTTCTCAATTGATAATTTCAATTAGCTAAGTTGTTGCAAATTAATGCTTACTATTGATTTGTGCTGCAAACCAATGTATAAATACTTGTCTCTGAGAGGTAGAGAGGACCAACAATTGATTGAATTCCCAATAAGAGTTTTTAAACGATATTGCAAAAAACTAGCTGTGCCTTCATGGGCACCTACCTCTACAGGACCCCACTAAATAAGCTAACTGGCAAAAGAAATAAGTTAAGTTAATCTGCAGGACGCCCTAAAAGATACTGGGACTGTTCCTACGTGTTCTAAATGAGAAGATCACTTCTTGTTACTAGAAAATAAAGTAGCAGTTGCTAGTGTTTGAGTACTCTTAATTGCTGTCTATATAGATATAAGTCTAGGACCATTCTCACGATGCCTTCGAGGGCACCTGCTGCTGCTAAAAACCTAAGTTAGCTATTAGTCGGAAGAAGGAAAGAAAAGCCCTGATAAGCATACATCAAACCCCAATCACCTATCATAGTAGAAATAATCGCTATACTAAACGGTTCAAATTGACCCCAATACGAAATGTACAGCGTTCGAAGTGAATTAAATTGTGGTGGTTTGAGAAAGGGGAGCAATCTCCCAGAGAAAACCCCGACGCGCGTTTCGCCGGTAAGGCGGCTTTTCAAGGGGAACTGAGTGGCTGTCAGCAAGGATTTTAAATACAGCGCTCCATAATTTGATTGGTGATTTCTAAATATGACGTAATGTATCGTGGCTGCCTACGTACGGCGGTCGTGAAGGAACATAACACCTCCCTCATCAGAAAGAGAGAGCCGAGAAGGATTCAATTAACTTGCCTATGTACGGCGGTCGAAAAGGAACATAACACCTCCCTCATCAAAAAGAAGAGAGACGAGAGAGAATCAATTCAATGTTTTGCTACAATGCTTGTTGTTAAATACATAGTATCTAGAAATTATATACATATTAATGCAATTGATTTTCTCTACCGACAATAAAGTTTGTATCCAATATAAAATTTGTTTTAGAGATATAATGTTATGTCTTTGTTGCTAATTGTATCCTCATATGAATCAATATGGATGCTAGATAAACATCATAAAGCCACTGATTGGATGACTATTTACAGAACGCTTTAAGCTAAATTCAAAGATATTTTTCCAGATGTGATTAGAAAAAATTGTTTATTCATAATAACCAGTTTTATCAATTATAGTACCAAATGCATATAACTGATAAAGCATATGTGTAGAAATGTTAATGCGGCTAAATCTAATGAATGAATTAAATACTAGTAATAGAATTTAAAGGTATATTCACAAAAATTAAATAGTGAAAAAAGTTTGATAACCAATTTTGTTTGTAATTGCACATAACTAAATGTATATAAATATTATTGTAGCTAGATCAAAAAAAAGGATTAAATTTCTCTAGATATCGCTTAAAATCCTATCATAATTGTATAGGGAACACATTAGAGATATAGAGTGAAGAAGCTTTTCAGTAATGACGCTATGAATTCATTATAAGAATATACTGATGAGATTTTATTACTTCGCTTGTTAGTAAAATCAGAATTACTTATGTATAAAAGAGGTATAATTGAACTCCTCATTAAGTCCCTGTGGAGTTAAAGTCTTGAATGAATAAATCCATTTGGATTCTTTTTGAAGTAATAGTTTGTTGAAATTCCCTTTTCTTGGATTGGAAAGTAGTTTCTCTATAACTTGAAATCTAAGATTATCAGCATTCCCCTGGTGGAAATTAGTAATGTGTCTTGCTACCGGTGTGGGGTTAATGCTATTTTTGATAGAATTTATGTGTTGGAGAATCCTCCGACGGAATGGTTGAATGGTCTTTCCAATATATTGTACACCACATTTGCATGTGATCAAATATATAACTCGAGTGGTGCTACAATTCACCAAAGCGTTGGTTGTAACCGTAATATGAGATTGTGTAGATGTCGTAGATTGAGAAGGAGTAATGAATCGACATGCCTTGCAATGGCCACCAAAAAAATAGCTGACTGAACCTCAAGGAAACTTCGCTCACTACAGAGTTTTACGATTAGTCTGATCTCTGCAACAAACGCTCTTCTGAGCCTACTACCAGTTTCGCTTTTAAAATGCATAAAATAAGCACTCAAGTCCTACCCTGTAGTAAGTATTCTAGGACACGTACAGCAGAGGTGGGGGGGAGGGGGAGGAAGTGTTAACTCGGTTGAATCAAAACGTCTGTATCAATCTCTAGGTAGTTCATTAACGTCCAATTGTTTTGCATGGGAGGTCTGGGTTAATACATAGGACGTTAACTGCTACTTGCAAGGGATTATATTTGCTTCCAAAAAATAGCATGAAATTCTAGCTATTTTATATGATCGGAACAAGGTCATTGAGAATTTTTTATGTATTGCTGAAGTCCGCCTCCGGGTTCTCAATTGGAATTCCAGTAGGTGACAAAGATCGTGTGGTAATTACACTGCTAATTCATGCGTTTGTTACGTTGGTTTCTTAATGCACCATGGTAACCACTCGATCTGCATGGTCTATGATTGTGCTACCCCAGAAAAATCTAAGAAAACGTTACTTAAAGGCCTATTGCTTTTTAAGTAACATTTTATGTTTCAGCAGGTATTGTAATTTTGTGCAAAACTAGTGTTTTATTAAAAGCCCGGAGGAAAAGTTTGATGCCATGTTAACAAGAAAAAGAAAAGAAATCGAAAAACAAAATAAAACCATTTTATTATTAGTGATGCAAAGAGTGACCCATAGATGTTTTGTGTCACTGCATACCTGAGCTTGCAGGTAGATCTTCTATTGAAAACCTTCTGAGTGAAGCTTACCGTTACGGATTGACAAGTTCTTCCGAGAATTCTGCTGTCATGATGTGTACACCCAAAAGGATACGCCACCGGCTATAAATCTTATCAGTGTTCTTACACGGGGCTGCATGAGCGCTTTGTACTTTACTGTTAAGGAAGGTTCTTTGGAGTTCACCAAGCATGCCTTTATGTGTTAGTGCTGCAGCTAAACTGAACAGCAGTCTAAGCAGTCACCTGCTTCTCCATAATGTAATGATAGTAAAAAATTGAGAATGAGCCCTATTGAGTTCTTAACACCCATATGCCCACTACTCCTCTCCTACACCTAGCTGCTATTCAGCCAGTTCCTGTTTCTGAGTCGATCCCTACTCTCCAGAGGTGTCTCTGATCTGAGAAAATGTTTTTGTGTTTCTAAGAATTTCACTTTGGAGTTAACATTTCTAGAGACCTGCCACCTGGTTGACCATTGCTTTTATGCCAATTATTTATTTATGGCATAAATGCTGTTTGATTGGCTGTGTTTTTATGCAAGAATGGAGAGATCACATATCTATTGACTAGGAACTGACATGACTCACAATCAACTGTAGAATATCATGGTATCAAGTTACTGTTTTAATCAATCCGCACAGTAATAACTAAAACATGAGATGTATTAATGAAAAATGCCTATATATCTGTAGGTTTCTGTGTGAAGTATGACACTGACCAGTCTTAATCCTTTTTTTTTTCTGGCAGAACCATCAAATCTGACGCGTTTTACAAGAGGGGAGCGTGATTACATCACCAGAGTTCCTTCTCCCGCAACACTAACATGTCTGCGTCTCGAGGAATTGGACCCTCGTGCTTTGTGTTACTTGATTAGAGAAAGAAATCAGGCTGGATGTGTGTAACGTGATAAGTAATGATTACAGCTGAGCTTTTTTTAATCTTACACTAATCAAGCACTTTTAAAAAAATTATGTATACTTGGTAGTATAATTTTGCTGAGCTGTAGTCTTTATAACTCTGGATGTTTGTTTTGTCTACCTATCTCTGGTCTTGTTAATACAAAGGCTTAGTCAGACTCAGATTCGGAATGTTTTCATCCGTCATCAAATCAATATGATGTTTTTAAAATGACCCCTTCTCCTTTAAAAATAATAATGTGTATATAACATCCTATATCTAACATTTTATATCTCAAAGCCTTGTTTTATACTTTTTTTTTTTTCTCTAAAATATTGAACTGTAGTGCAAGCACATAATAAACAATTTTTTTTTATATTTTTTTTTTTGTTTTGTTTTTTTTACTAATTTAAAGACTCGTTACACATTTTAATGGAATAAAAAAACAGAATAACTTTTATTTACATCTTGGCAAAAAAATAGTATAAATATTAGATTCAAGCTCTTCTAAGCAGCCTATACTTATCAAGGCTCCTTTACCGTCTATCTCCCCCGCCCCCCTGAACTGACAAGTTTCATAAATTAATGTTTTTAAAAAATAGATTGTCTTTTCCTTTTTCTCTCCTTCAAAATGGCTGGTGCCAGCACAATTGTTTGTAATCCAAGTTCTCACATGATGAAAATGGCAGATTGTCTACAGAAAGAGCTGCCATTGTCTACGAAAATCAAATCCTAAGTATTTAGTTCCTCTACAAGGGGAATTGGCAGCTGTCAAAGAAACTTCTCTTACATCAAGAACTGAATGCAGAGGGCATTCGGGAAGTTGGGTCATGTGATTACTAATCGACAGGGCAATGGGACTGATAAGGCAGCTTTGGATTATTAATGGTCCTGGAAAATAGATGTTAGAACTTCCTTTCACCCATTCCCCACCTCCCTAACTGCTTCCTCTCCTGTCGCTGGGCATTCTGTCCCCTCTTCCATCATTGTAGCCATGTCAAAATCGTCATCGTAGGGTGGTGCATCTGCGGAACAGCCAGTGCAGGACTGAGGAGGAGAAACGTAAGATGTTACTGATGTATGTTTATCTGCTATTGACATCACTACATTTACATGGATACTACAACTTGTCGTTTAAGTGGGAACACGTGATGCCATGCAAATAGCTTCAATGTCTCCGCACGTGTGCTGTTCTTTGGCATATTTGCATGGAGATCCCGATGTGTGCACCATAAGTGCACACACAGAGGTGTGTGTCTTAATCTTAATTTCCACAGCATTCCTCACCACAGTAAACTCATGAAAAGGGAAGGAATTTTCTGGCTTCAAATAAATCTGTGTTCACTATCATCTCATGTACGTGCTGTTTTACAGTGCCCAGTGCCTCCTAGGGCTAGTAGCATGAGTAAGTGGGGACTGAGACATGACTATCTAAAAATAACAGACAGCAGAGGGTAAAAGGGTGTTTATCTTAAAAAATGCATGTGACTTCCCTTCAAATCTAATGCTACATTTTAATTTTTTTCTAACCTGCCATTTGAAGATATTTACACTTTAAAAAAAATGCAAAATGATAAAAGAGGAAGTTGTTGGTTAAAACAAAATTTATAAGGAGAGATATGGGAAAGTATTAGTATTTTGATGGGAGAAATGGGTTAGTTGATTAGGGAACAAAAGCAGAATATCCATATGATGTTAAACTGTTCTATAAACCACAAAGAAGGAATGTTAAAAATAAGAAGATATATGCATATACATGCAAAAATAATGAAAAAATAAAATTGAAATAAACAAGAGAAAATATACAAATATACAGAAAGATCTGGAGATAGTATGGGGGGGGGAAATGAGCCTGGAGAGTGGACAACACTGACTGCATGCTACTCTACATGAAGGATGGATATTGTGTATGTGGAACTTATTGGCGCAACTGGACATAAGTCACGTGTCCTCGTCATGTACCTAATGCTAAGTGCTACACTTTGACGCACGAATAGATGCTCAGTAGTGCTAAAACAGGGATTTGCTTTCAGGTGGCCTTGGAACAACAGGGGAGTCATTTGTTTTTTCTAGTTTTTTTCCCTCCACTCTGGGCATGTGCTTTCACTTTTTGTTTGTTCTCTGTAAAGTCTAATGAATTTGTAGATACCTAAACTACAATGCAGTCAGCTGGTAGACACTTTTTTTACAGTAGAGAATCCTTGTATTCCATAACTATTTATGTACTCACGGTAATATTCATGACATGTGGTATTCGTCCTCTTCGTACCCAACTGTGGACCTCCCCCAGTTCTTTTTTCTGCTCCTCACTGAACTTGGGTTGGTGTCTTTGTAGCTGACGGAGCTTCTCTCGATCTTCCTTGAGTACACTCTCCATATCTCTGTGGGGGAGGGGTAAGGAGATGAGCCCTACACGAGATTTGTGGAGGAAGCCGGAAGCAAATCCTAGAAGGAGAATAGGCTCTCCCAAATCTATATATGTATTCAGAAGTCGAAGTTTTCTCACCTGGTTGGGATCTGGTATGACATCATCACTTCGTGGTCAGCGTTGGCCATCAACAACCAAAGTGGGTCCTGCATGACATATATGATAGCTTTTCGCTCAGCCTCCTCTCTTTCTGCCTTTTTTACTCTCAGGTCTGTCTCCGATGAGTCAATGCTTCCAAAATACTTGCTGGTATTGCTACTCTCGCTGCTTCCTGTGAAGGAAGAAGATTTTTCATGAAGCTTTTATAAATTTAGCTCCAAATAGTCAGATGTGCAAGACTGCCGCAAGTTATGTTCACTGTGAGATCAGGAGGTCAGTGTCAGGTTAGGCCTGCCATAACAAAATATCCAAGTGAAGTTATCAAGAAGGAATCCTCGTGAAATCACAGTGCCTGTGGGAGGTGATTTTTGTGAATCTATATCGAAGAATAGTCATTAATAACATGTCACTCACTAGTGCCGCAGGCAGAAGTGCTTCCTCCATTAGAACCCATCGATCCGGAGGCCGCAGATCCAGTTCCTGAACAGGAATCTTCCTGCAGGAGCAGATCAAGAAGGTCACTAGAGCTGGAAAGAGCGTCATTGTGCGACGAGGATTCTTGTTGATCACCCTGAGATCAGGAGAGAGTGAAAGGAACAGTGTATGAGAAAGGAAGGATTAACATTTAATCAAGGAATATAACTAAAAGAGGTAATAGAACATTTTGAAACTGTTAAACACACTAACCATGCAGTTCTCAGGCTGCCTGTCCTCTATTCCATTTCCTGAAGCTGCATTGGGAACTCCTCCTACTGCTCCTGTTGTGCTCCCGGGAGTTGTCCGTCCTTTTACAGCTTTAGCTTCTTCTTCGAGCTCCCACTCTCCCCCTACTGCTGCCCCGGATTGTGGCAACTCCTCCAACTGCAGCAGATCAAGCTGCAGTGGAGAACTGCAACGGGACGGGAATAGCCGCTGTGGAGGGGAGGAGGATCGGGATGGAGGAGGGCAGGACACAGATTGGGGAGGTGGAGCTGGTGTTGGTGGTGGGGCTTCAGCTGCAGATGGCGGAGCTTCTGCAGTGGCAGCAAAAGGAGGAAATCCAGATACTCCTGGGTAGAATGTAGGTGCAACAGGAGGAGGCTGGAAGAGGTAGTTCGGGAGCACCAAAGCCACAATAGGAGTGACAAGTGGATATCTGTTAAGTGATGGGGCAGGATCTGGAGCAGCAGTCTGGGGAGGATACATAGGGAGGGGATAACCTGGCATTACTGGTGGATGAGGAGGAGGAGGAAGAAGAGAGGCCTCAGGGTGCTGGGGGCTTGACGTTGAGCTGGATGAAATATGTTTGCCTTGCTTAGGGCGCTTAGCTTTGGATTTCCCACTACGTCCTCGGCGCCCACCTGTACCATTCCTGGATGGAGGCGTTTGTGTGTTAGCAGAGGCATTGTGATGGTGATGAGACCGTAGAGGCTTTGTACCTGTTGAAGGAAAGAGAAATGGCACACTTATGAAAATACATCACAATAAAATTAAAAAAAAAGTAAAGAGACTATAACAAAGAAAGTGTGATGGAAACTTAATGGAGTCACAAACAAAAATAAAAGATATTGGTAAAGAATTCAAATAAAAGAAAAAAAAAAAATAAGGTAAGATGACCAGACTAACCTTGAGAAGGCCGCTGGTTCTGTTTCTCCCAGGTTCCAACAGGGATTGGATCAAACACTCTAAGCTGGCTGAGGTTATGGACACGGGTGAGGAAGGCCTGCTCTTCCCTTTGAGTGTGAGCCGACAAAACCTCCTTGGTTAAACCAAGTGTGCAAAGGGGAGGAGCAGGAGCTGCAGGACATGGAGACTTTTCCATCATAACCATGTCTGTAGGAGGAGGCAGAACATTGCAGTCTTGAGATTCCATGAAAGAAATATTGAAGGAACAAGATGCATTCAGAATACATTAATTAAAATGGTCGGTCCATATGCCATAAAAATATAAACCATGATTTAGTCATTTTAAACCATGAATACATATTTGTCTCAATACCTACCAGAGTCTGGAGGTTTCTTATCTCCAACATGGACAATAGTGCTGCTGAAACTTCCCTGACTGGTAATAGAAACCACACTCTCAGCTTTGCTTAGAGGAAGTGGAGGTAGTGGAGCGAGCGGGGAAGAACCCACTGCAGTAGGTGGCAATGGAGGACGCAAATCTGGCTGCCGTGATGGACCACCAGAAGGATCTAGAATGACAATATATGGATTGGTAAAAAAAGTAAGGGGATATACAGTGAATTAAGGTTAACTGGGTTGAGAAACCTGCAGTGTCCCATCTGTTCATTGACTGTATGAATTATTAAAAGGTGGCCCTTCACCTTTCTCAGTAAACCTGTATAGCCTCACCTTCCTTGTCACTCTCCCCCGTTATAGGTTTCTCCTCCTCAGATGTGGATGAGGTGTAGGACGAAGAGCCACATTTCCGTTTTACTGTGCCAGGGAGGTTACAGCTTTCTAAATACCTAGACAGTGAGAGAGAGAGACATTCATGAAAAGGAGGGGACAAGATGGGACTGGAAGAGAAAGAGGGAAAAAAAGAGGATAAGGTTAAGAGATGGTGAAATATTTTTAAGGGTTAATGAATATAAAATATTTTTATGCTTAGTTATGCTGAGTTGGTTTATGGGTAGTTTACAGGAAAGATAGAAAAAATATGGAGATATTTGGAAGGGCCATATAGAGCAGGATATAACTCTTACCGGATAATGCTGTCCAGGCAGTTGATCTGCTGATAAGAATAGTTTGTGGTCTCTTTCCGTGTCAGCTCTTCTTGAACACACGGAATCCTAGGAGTTGCTACTTCCATGGGAGTACTCTCCACAGCCTGGTGGGGAGCTGGACGAGATGCAAGAGCTGTAAGGTAGATAGGTATAAATCAGACATAGAAACTATTCATTTTTAAATCCGCTATGCCGGATGCCTTCTTATCCCAAGAAAAGTCATGGACCATACCTTGGAAATGTCCCCTCTGGTGAGTACGTATAGCTCTTGATCCCAGGAATAGCTGCTGACCCTGATTCTTTACCATGTTGACATTCTGACAAAACTCCTGAAACGTCATCTGCTGGAGAAAAGGATATAGTTACTCCATAGCTCCTTCACCTTGTGTCAGTCTACAGGGGCAGGGACAGACTTATTGCTCCTTCTGACTTTGCCACACTACAGCTAGAGGGACAGACTCATACTTCCTTCTGTCTGTGCTATTGTTACCATCTAAATGGAGTGACAGACTCATAGTACCATAGGTCTATGTCACCCTACAGGGGGAGGAACAGACTCAGAGCTCCTTCTGTCTGTGTCACCCTGCAGGGGGAGGGACATACTCATAGCTCCTTCTGTCTATGTCACCCTACAGGGGAAGGGAGAGACTCATAGCTCCTTCTCTCTGTGTCACCCTGACGGGGAGGGACAGACTCATAGCTCCTTCTGCTATCATATATGTCATGCAGGACCCACTTTGGTTGTTGATGTCACCCTACAGGGGAAGGGAGAGATTCATAGCTCCTTTTGTCTGTGTCACTGTCACCCTGCAGGGAGAGGGATAAATTAAAAGCACCCTATATCTGCCTCATCCTCTTAGCTCTCTATATCAATGGCATGCTGCCAGGTCCACAATTGTTTGTAAAACTTACTGGTTTAGGATCGGCCCCCTCCTCGGTAACCATTGCATTGCTGTCACTCGAAGAGGCATTGCAGTGGAATGGTTCTTGCGATATGTTGCTTCCACCACTGCCATTTCCCCCAGATGTTGTATTATGCACAGGCTACAATAACATAAAATATATTTTAATTTAATTCACCCTGACTAGTAATCCCTTAAACTCACAGAGGATGTATTTTCTAAATAGTAAATGTCCTAGAATTTTGTACCAAACCGCAGATTTTAGGACAAACTGTTTAAAAAATTTAATTCTTTACTTTAACTGTATTTACAATTAGGCATAATTTTGCATTTGGTTTTCACTTCGCTGCCGTTCATCATATATACACCAAGACATTGGGCATTTTAGAGACAGGTTTTAAGTTTAACAGCTGCTATATTCTAACAGTTTTATTTCTTTAAGTTTGACTTATTTTCAGAGTGTATTCTTTGGCTTTGATGCATTGAGCATTTATAGAGCGGAGTTTGTCTTCTGTAATTCATTAGGTATTCCTAAAACACGTAGTGGGTACCCTGTTCAGACAAAGAGCTACTATATTACTTTCTTTTATTTTCAGTGCCCAATGAAAGTTATTAATGCCTAATCACTTTATTTAGTTGTTCCTGCTCAGCTGCGTACCTGTATAAGTATCCGATGGATCTGCTCTGACAATTCCTGGATGTCGGGGTCCAGAGATTTAAGCTCTGCCCCTTTGGGGGCAGTGAAGATATCTTCATTAAGAGGACTCCTGAGAAAAAAGGGTAAATGTACATTACGAGAGAGGCAGCAATAAAATCACAAAGACAAACAAGGACAAGATGTTCACAGAAACAGTGTAGAGGGAGGGTTATCATTAAGCATCGACAAACGCAGCAGCGCTGTTCAATGGGAGATTATACTGCTTAGTCTGTGAAGCTGTTACATTACACGGTTCATGGTAAGGAAGCACAGAGAACACAACACAAATGCAGCACTGAGAAATGGAAAAGAGAAGACGAGGAAATATAGCAAAAAAGACATATAGAGAAAAACCAAAAATGAAATAAAGTGTGAAATTCTCAAAAAAGAGGAAAATAACAGAATATGGCTGGTGAGATATAGGTACTTACGTGCGCACTTTGTGTCTCCCCAATATAAACGCCACTTTCCGGCTCCAGGGGTTCACAAAACTACTCCAGCTGGTGTCAATTGTCACATATTCTCCAGAGCGTGCACAAAAGCGGATAGGGGAATGATCGAAGGGCTGCCCAGCTTGTTGTAGAACTGAATGTGAAAAAGGCCCAAAGGGTAAACATTAAATTATAAGAAAACCCATGGAGAAAGCATTGGATTGGATAAAATCGGCAATGGGGCGGGGCCAAACACTGTTTTGGCCAATCAGCACCTCCTCATAGAGATGCATTGAATCAATGCATCTCTATGAGGAAAATTTAGCGTCTTCATGCAGAGCGTGGAGACGCTGAACGGCAGGGCTGCTTACTGTGAAGCACTGTGCCAGGAAGCACCTCCAGTGACCATCTGGGTGTCCCTAGGGGCAATGTAAATGTTTGCATAAAAATGCCTGCAGGGAATGATTATACTCACCAGAAAAACTACATTAAGCTGTAGTTGTTTTGGTGACTATAGTGTCCCTTTAACCCCTTAAGGACACATGACATGTGTGACGTCATGATTCCCTTTTATTCCAGAAGTTTGGTCCTTAAGGGGTTAAAGTCATATTTCTGGAACATAGAAACTGCATTTGCCCAGGAAAATTTTTAAAAACTGAAAACGTTATTTCATAAACTTTTAGTGATCTCAAGATATGAAAAATATAGGACATATTATTTCTAAGTTTTATTTCTTTCTGCTAATTTTCCACCCAATATCTAAATTTTAATATCCTCTAACTCTTAATTGTAATCTCTCCAGTCTCCTCCAATGGCCAGAACCGAGGAGCAATTTATTTCCAAATAAACCCAATCGCACTTTTGTCAATCTCTTATTTACCTTTCTTGTGGATAGCCAGCATTAGAGGGCGGTCCTCAGGGTGAACAAAACAAAGGACAGGCATGCCTATGAGGTCCTGAGGGAGGTAGCCCAGCAGAGGCACGGCTCTACAGCAAAAAGATCAACAATAGACAGAGTTAGCAAGTAACGAGGCACAAGGGGAGATTCAGGGCTGGTAGTGTGAGAGACAGCAAAGAAGAAAAAATGTAACAAACAGCAGAAGAACAGATACATAGATAACAGCAAAAGTAAAGTATAACAAATTTAGAAATATAAAAATAGAGCGATAGAAGAACAGAATTTGTGTAGAAACGTATGTAGCTCACCTCTCATCCACCTCTTGGAATATACAGCTTGGTGTGTGTCGTGTAGTAAAAATTCTTTTATCTGTGGGGATTCGAGGAGCTGAGGAATAAGAGATACTGGTCAGTTTTGATGTAACACCAAGCCCTTTCTGTCATGGCTATAGTCCTCTTCTATACTGCTCAAGCTGTTTCCTTCAGCCCTTCTGGGTGGTTTCCCCTATCACAGGCCAGAGTATGGAAACTGAGCTAGCACAAGTAGCTAATGTCAGTTGACTGTTTCTTGCCTTGACCAAAGTTCCATCAAGATATGGACATTCCAAGAAAGAGATTTCATATCAAGCATTTGGAGCAAAACAAAACTGGACATTACTTGGGCTTCCTCAAATACCATAACTACATACATATAGCCTTACATATAGGACATTGTCCCCCCAATAGATATTTTTATAACTATATTGATGTCCACATCCGTCTTCTCAACCAAATTCTGCTTTTATTACCACCTCAATATCTTTACCTTCTCTATTCTATCGATCTGTTACATCTATAAACAGTCACAATTTATTTTCATTCATAATTATACTCTCATTCTTACCCTCGTATCCAGAGTGGATCTTCTCTGCAATAAGCAGGCAGCAGGGCTGACCCTCCGCACTGTCCGAATCTCGCACCTTCATCAGGTACGGGGTGAGGCGGAATGGGTGATAGCGGATGTTCAAATCCCGCTCTCGGCCCCCACTGAAAACACACACCTGCAATAAGACCAGAGCCGGGGAGACAACAGCAAGAACAGTGGGGCAATGGGGCCTGACTGGAAGGTGGTTGACTCTTGCCAAGGTAACATTAAGAATGTCATAACAAAAGTAGGGAAAAGTGTGTATTGATGTTGAGTTTGGGAGGTCATAAATTGTATAGATGATATTTGGGATCCTCTCATAATGAACTAGACCAGTGGTTCCCAATCCAGTCCAAAAGTACCCCCTAACAGTCCATGATTTAAGGATTACCCAGTTGTGTCTAAGGTGTTTTTTAGAAAAAGAAGAAAAAATGTTTTTAGACACAACAGGGTAATCCCTAAATCCTGGACTGTTAGGGGGTACTTGAGGACTGGGTTGGGAACCCCTGCACTAGACAACTATATACTGTGTCTATAGATCAAACCACTTACTGGATTTTAGTAAACATAAAGTGGATTATGTTTTTGGACACATGCATATTATTCTTTTCCTCGTTTACCCATGTCTACAGTGTGCTCATTTATAAAGCCATACCTATCAATTATCTCCAATGACGCTTCAGGAAGGTCTGAAACAACCTGACAAAACGTTTATTTTCTCACTGCTATATAGAATTCTTTCTTTGCGGTCTTTATACTTATTTATATAATTATAGATATGATAACATCCGATTATATTTTTGTATCATGCAAAAGTATTTTTAAACCCCCGGAATTTCTCTGTTTCTTTAAGCTTATGTATGTTTGACAGAGCAAATTCTACGATTTCTTTTTTTAAATATATTACATCTTCATGTTTTTATACAAAACAACCTCGCAGACAGTATATATTATTTTACACTGCATAAGGGATAAATCTGCAGAGCTGTGTAAGGAATCTCGGCACACAGAATGTTGGCAGTGATGGGGTTACACGCAGGGTTTTTGCAGAGTGCGGGCGTTGTGTGGGTGAGTGACGCATGATGTGTCAGTATGCTAATTAAAGGGCCTATTGTGTCACAGCTGTGTGAGGCCATGTAATTGTGTGAGGTGGGAAAAAAAGGGAGGTGGGGAGGCTGTCTTCCGGAGCACGAGGTTGCTCATAATATGCAGGTGATAGCTGGTTGATTTGGCCGGTTTGATCACTATACACAGAATATAGATTCACTCAACCCTTCTCTGTGTACAGCTATAACTGAGTCATACGGCTTTCCTTCTCAAAGCAATAAAAGGCTAGGTCATTGCTCTCTGTATATAGAGGTGATAGACAGCTCAGTCTGACCTCTCTCTGTATATACAGCTATAGATAGCTCAGTCTGTCCTCTCTCTGTATATACAGCGATAGATAGCTCAATCTGTCCTCTCTCTGTATATACAGCGATAGATAGCTCAGTCTGTCCTCTCTCTGTATATACAGTGATAGATAGCTCAGTGTGTCCTCTCATTGTATATACAGTGATAGATTGCTCAGTCTGTCCTCTCTCTGTATATACAGTGATAGATAGCTCAGTCTGTCCTCTCTCTGTATATACAGTGATAGATAGCTCAGTCTGTCCTCTCTCTGTATATACAGGGCGAGATAGCTCAGTCTGTCCTGTCTCTGTGTATACTAATGATAGATAGATATATATGGGGTATATTTTCTCTGCATGTAGTGGTAAGAAGCAAAACCCTATATTTTTCCTCTGCCCTTACGATACCCACCTGATCCGGCAGAATACAGACTTCTCCTGAGTGCAGTCCATAGATGTAGTTTCTATAGAATATAAAGAAAGAAAAGCATTAGATGTGATGGATTACCCTGCAGGCGCAGGGACAGACCCATAGCTCCTTCTCCTCATACTGTATGCGGAGAGACATTTTCATGTCTGTCTATTTTACCTCCAGAGGTGCAGCTGCTCCATGATGGCAGGTGATAAGGTGCTGTTGATCCATAAAAGACACTGACATCCTGTGGTGCAAGGAACTCTGCGAACATTGCTCCCTTAAACACATCTCTCTTGCAGTGCAGAATGAGCGATGCCTGGTCCGAGATGTACACAATACGGCCAGTGATGAATGAGACCGCAACAGAGAACGTATCCTGACAGACAGAGACAGATATAAAAAACAAAGCACTAGGGGGCGCTGTCTCAGAATGGGGGGTGGGCAAATAATAAACTTTCTCTGTTTCTAAAGACCAACCTATCAGCCACTGCATTTCAATCCTACAATAGGTTTGCCGGTACCTTAATGTGCCTGTGGACAGCCCTTCGTGTCAATTTTTACATGACTTCATAACCAAACTGAGTAGGCACTGAGGCCCCTTATTGGTTAATGCACCACTGTATAGTTCTTATTGGGAAACATACAAAGCTCTCATATAAAGCTGTTGGAGAACCAGGATTGGCTGAGAACTTTTTTTAGCCACTTCCTGATTTATTATTATTATTTATTATAATGTGCAAACAAATTTTGCAGCGCTGTACAATGGGTTTATGTTTGGAGCCTTTCCATTTTATTTATTGCTTCCATCACAAATAAACAGATGTTTTCTAAATATTGCTTTGTAAAAAATAATTGGTGAGAGTTCACTTCAGATCTACTATAAATCTTGGAAATTTTATGGTGAGGATAGGGGGCTCCCTTTATCTACATTGGAAATATAAATTATTTTTTGAAGGAAGATATTGTTAAAAAAGCTGCCCAGGAGGACCTGCATGTATTACAGATAACTTACCGGGTTTTTTAGAGTGTACTCAGAAGTGATGCTCTCTACTTCATCAATAGTAAAACTGGACATGTCGAGACCACAAGGCTGAGACTCATCGATAGTCCATTGCTGGTAGTACTCCTGGTTGGCTGAAAGACCAAAGAGGGATATAAGCACAGTAAAGAGAAAAATATGTATGTGGCCTATTTAAAAATTGTTAAAGGACCACTATAGTGCCAGGAAAACATACTAGTTTTCCTGGCTCTATAGGGTCTCTAGGTCCCTCCCACCCTCTGGGTCTCCCTCCTGCCGGGCTCTAGGGGGTGGAAGGGGTTAAATCTTACCTGTTTTCCCCTGCTGGGCTCCCTTGGCGCGGGGAACTCTCCTCCTTTTCACCGTCATCGGCTGAATGCGCCGCGCGCATTCAGCCAGTCCATAGGAAAGCGTTAGTTAATGCTTTCCTATGGACGCTGGCATCTTCTCACTGTGAAAATCACAGTGAGAAGAGCGGAAGCGCCTTTAGCGGCTGTCAATGAGACAGCCACTAGAGGCTGGGTTAACCCATTTGTAAACATAGCAGTTTCTCTGAAACTGCTATGTTTACAGCAAAAAGGGCTAAAACAAGATGGACCTGGCACCCAGACCACTTCATTAAACTGAAGTGTTCTAGGTGCCTATAGTGGTCCTTTAAGAAATGAATGTTATTTTCTCCCTGGGGTCATTTAAGAAGGTATACCCGCTTTGTGCTGCTCACCTCGTACTTGCTTGACACAAGATAAGGCATATTGCAAGGTGGCAAGCGTCCCGGATTTTCCCTTTCCTCTCTTCTCTGACGGGAGACGAATCTTCAGTTCCTTTAAGGCCTTCATCAGCTCTTTCTGATTCTTCTCACGAGCTGACTGTTCACTACTGCAAGGTGGATGGTTAAAAAAAAAAAAAATGTAATTTCCATGAATTATAATGCAGAGAAAAATAAATAGGACGAAAAAAAACAAAAATAGAGAAAAAGAGCAACAGAATTCGATATGTGAAAACATATACTAATAAATATTTTATAGGAAGATAGAAAAATAGAAAACTTTCACCCTTGTCTCAAACAGCTTGGCAATTATGCTATTTTGTTTTTAAAGTCCTTATTATATTATAAGGAACAATGCTGCAATGTCATTCTATGACCAAAAAGTCTTGTAATGAATAAAGGAGTATTTTCTAACACTACATCAAATGTGTAGTGTCTGCGTGATGATATCAGGGACATTTCTCTACACATCCCTTATGTACTTTTTACATCTCTTATATTTTTTTTGCATAACTGGAGTGGGTGAGGGAGTGAATGGGTAAGGTGAAGTCTTTTGGTCTTTGAGTAAGAAGGTAATTGAGGTGGTTTGGTGGAGTGGTGATGGAATTGACTTAGAGGACTTGAAAGGGACAGAAATTACCTGCAGCCACTTGTTGAAGGGTTGTCCTGCTCCGAGCTTGCACTCAGGAGGCTGTAAGCAATGGAGCTACTGGGGGGCGAGGGACTATTTGAGTTTGTGCTATAACGAAAGAAAAAGAAACATTATTATCGATTGATGTAGAAAAAAAACAAGTCTTTAATTCATAGATAAATATATATTCTTTTCTCCATTAATCTGTTGCCTTGATCTCCCCCACTTCCTTAGCTATACCACATGGTCATTACTCTCCCATCGTTCACCTTTTGCTGCTCTCTGTTGCTTCCAACATGGCCGAGTCCTTCCCGTTTCCACTGGTGCTGCTGTGAGAGCTCCGGCTATTGCGAGATTCGTTGCCATTTGACTCATTGCCGCTGGAGCCATGGCTATTGGTGTCTGTCTCATCCTGCTGGGTTCCCTCCATTTCCCGAGAGGCCCGTGTTCTTCTCCCTCTCTCCCCAAGAGGGGGTGGTGGCTCACAACCACCATTCATCCCTAGCGTCTTGGCCAATCAGTGGCGTTTAGAACCAAAGGATAAGTGTTGAATGAAGACGTTCTAAGGGAGGATAAGATTGACAAGGTTTTAAATTCACAAATAACAAACAAGGAATGTTTGGCATCCACATCAAACCATCAATGCCGACTAGAATTATCTAAGAAGGAAATTTACCCTGACATCTAAACCCTCTCAAAATCAGATTTGCAGACAGGTCAGTAAAGAAAAGATTGATATGAGAAACAGAAGGGAATCACGTGAAAGGTAGAAAATCAAAACTGGTCATCAGAACCGTTGAAATAAGACGTACTAGAAAAATTTTCTTTTAAATAAGTAATCAGTCACTCACCACGGGCATTATTGCTTTGTGCTTGAAAGTCAAAAAATTTCAGATATTCCAACTTTCTAATTAACAAATAATATTATATATATAATATAGCCTACTGCATATATATACGCTCAATATATAAGTCGGGAACTTGGGAACCATATGTACAGAGATATATCATATTAAATAGACCCTCCTATATAACACAGTGACAGCAGGGTGCCAGTGATCCCCATAGGGATATACTACCATGTACACACAGTAATTCCTACAGGTGTGGTATATGGAATAAATTCTCCTTTTTTGTAAGGGCATCTTACAGGGCAGATTGTGTTCTGTGCAGCCCTGCAATATTCATTTCGTATAAGATAAAGCCTTCCCTTATAGGAAGGAACCTTGGTAAGTCACACGGAGATAAGAGTAACAACACCAGTGACAGGAGACACTTCTAAACAAATACCAGTCATTACAATGTCAGACACAGATTGCCTGGGTGAGATATACAATCAATCATTAATATAGACATCATCCTCAGATGGCAGGTGTGACTTCCAATAACGAGTTATATAAATTTAGCCTATACATTGCTCTATGAAAATCAGCAAAAATGTATTTAAAGAATATCTTAAAGGAACACTCTACACACCAAAACTACCACATTTTGATGTAGTGATTTTTATTGCAAAGCCCTGTGTCTGCACTATGACAAATGTAAGCATTGCCATTTGTGAGACTAGAAGAAGCGTCTGCACAAAGGAGGACTAAGGTAAGTGTTAAACCTCTTTAAAGGTTTTGGTACATTTAAATGGGTGTGGTGGGTGTGGTTGTTATTGTGTTTACGCTACTACGTTAATTTTTGTTTGTTAAAACCCAGTTCTGTACATGGCGATAGAAGGAATTCTGATCATTCTTTAATTATAATACAATTTATCAAACAAAACATACCAATAATACTGTCACTTAGGCTCTTCCAGCAAAAGTAGGGGCTGCTACAGAATATTAGTTACGGTGGGCGGCTACCCCAAACCTGACAAATATGATGTGCATGTTCAAATAAATGCTGGCCCAAAAATATGCTAACATTTTAGCTAGCACAGATTACGGATTATAACGGCTGTACAAATGAAGGGGTTTATTGATTTATAGAAATTATGGAGCAATGATACATGACAGCATATTTTACAATTTGGTAATTCTGTCCCACACTTAGCAATTGCCTTGTCAATTCTTTACAATGACAGGTTGACTGAATAAACTCAAAATTGTGTTATTTATAAATTATTAAGTCTGATATTTTTTTGGACATTACAATGTATTTCTAAATTCTGTGTCGTTCTTTAACTACAACGGGTTATTTAATAATGTCATGTAAATTGTATCAATATTCAACTTGGAAGGATTTTACGTCTGTCACCATGGCAACTACTCGCACAATTTCTCTTCACCATGACAACGACAGAAAATCAGAGGCTGACCAAGGGGAGAATATACAGAAAATCAGCGCATTAAATCCATCACCAGCTTCCAATAGCAAGTCCATAACCAATGATTCAACTATTCATACCACGAGCTAGCTAAAATTGTATTTTCTACCTTTACAAACAGATTTATCAGTGCTTTCCAGTGGTCTACATTTGTTTTACACATTTTTGCTTTATTTTTCAGAGTCTAAGAGAATCTAATAAGGCATTTTCTTGCTGCCTAAAACCCACACAGTAATAACTCAAAGGACCCGAATCTGGCTGGGCAGGTGACCTTGTAGATCTAATCCTTCCAAGACAGCTAATCAACACGGGGCACTGATGTAGATATCTAACCAATATATAATCAAAGTACTCACTGCATTGCCAGAGCCAAGGAAGTGAAACCATACAGGATATCTCGAGCCTGAATTAATCACAAGGAAAATTAAGGCAACAGCCTAGGTAAAAGTGGGCCAGGGAGCCAAGTTTGGCCCTATTCACCATCCTTATTCCAAAGGGTGGGCTCGAAGTCTGCCTAGAGTATCTTAATCTTTGTCTGGTATATCTGCACAATACATTTCCCAGCATTCAATTCAGGTCATTATTGAAAGGGTTACTCCAAATATCATAACCATAACCACTGCACAAGCATGATAACCACTACAGCCAACATGGAAGTCTAGCTGGTGACACCCCAAGAGGTGTTAAATCTGTACGTGCAGCATTTCAGTATGACTACATACATACAGACTCCAGGCACTATCACCACTTCAAATCACTAAACTGGTCATGGTGCTTGGAGTAACCATTTAATAATAGGGGGTTTACTGCCACCCTGACCCTAAAGTCCAACAAAACTGGACCAAAAGTAGTGGGTATACAGTGTATGTATGTCATTTTAAATATAGATCTAACCGGTGGACTTGGCACTTTACAATTTACAGTAAAGGGAAGTGCAGTAGGTACAGTAGGTATATTTTATTTTTAAAACATTATAAAACACCAACCGGTGTACTGAGCATGTTAAAGGTTATATTCTAGCACTGGGGAGATGCAGTAAGTGCCGTGCTTGTACAAACATTATAAAAGGAATACAATAAACATGCATGTGGGGAGAAGGTTCTTGCAGGTCTTGGGGACATGTCATGGGGGCAGTTTTTATTTGTAATACATGAAACCTTTATCATGCACAGCGTTGCAGTGTGCTCTGTATTTCTGTAAACTGTGTATAAGCTCCTGAAAGCCTGCGAAGGTGGTTGGGACCAGCAATTCTAGCATATAAGAGTTATTATGCAGAGACGGGAAGGAGCCAAGTCCTTGGAAACGCCATAAGCCACTAAGTCTGCACTCTGATATGACATAAGAGCCCATTGCAACGGGATTATGTATATTATATATATACACAAACACACTTTATTCTTACTTTTATAGTTAAATCCAACTTTCACACTGACCCATTTATCACGCCTCCTCATATCAAGTCCCTCCCATTTTATAAACCAAGCCCCTCCCTCTTATTTCTCCAACTCAGAAACCACAGGCTAAACCAGTTTACTAAAAGCTGTATGTGAGCCAAGCACGTAGCGAGCGAGAGGAACACACTGTCCTCTTATTACAGGTATTGCTCATTAGCTGGGGGAGGGGGTAGAGGGTAGTCATCTCTGGCTACAGGTACACAATATATCTAAATTCCTGGTGAATACAAAGGTATGGAACAGACTATCACGGAGCCCTATCTCAATACCAAGGGGAATATTAACACTTCGCTGACACAGAAGAGACAGCTACTTCTCAATAAGATGGGCACATAGGTTAATCTAGAGAATCCTTACTCTACACTATAGGTATACATGCAGCCGGGTACACAGTTGTCTCTCTTTTAATCCTAGTACACAGCGGTCTCTTTTTTCAATGGACTGCACAGCGCTCTTTTTATTAAGGGAAGCACATGTCTCTTTTCAAAGGTGGTACACATCTGTCTCTTTTCAGAGGGAATGCACTGCTGTCTCTCTTTTCAGGGGTGGTACACAGCTGTCACTTTTCAGGGGGGATGCACAGCTGTCTCTTTTTAGGGGGGATGCACAGCTGTCTCTTTTCAGGGGGGATGCACAGCTGTGTCAGGGACTGGAAAGTTGACAGCTGTCTCAGTCTGAGTTGTTCATTGAGATACCAGGTATAAATAGCTACTAAAATCCCCTCCATCTCCTGTATGACTGATACCCCAGCCCAGACATCTCTTGGGGTACCCCCTTTTCTTACCTTGTCTGTCTCATCCTCCGGAGTATCGCTCTCCTTTCTATGGCAAGCCGTCCTCGATCCTATTCTCTCTCAGTCTACCAGCTCAGCTCTGATCCCTACTGCTTTACCCTCCCATGCCAGCTTGCCATTGGCCACCATGGCTGTGATGTCACTGAGCCACCCTGTGGAGTTATGCCCCACACGTGGATCCCAGTGCTGCTTCTCCCCCCACCCCTGCTCTCTGATTGGAAACTGGAGACTGGCCAATCAGGCAGCATCTCATGTATAATATGCAAATACAGAACATGTGTCTGTCAGGGATTAACCCTCCTTTTCCCAGCGACCTACATATATTGTTCAAGTAACAGTGTGCGTCCAAAACCTCCAGCTCCCTTTTTACTTTAATGTCTTTCTGATAAACATTTATAGAAATTCTGGAGACTTCCTTAATACATTAATTAATGCCTGCCCAGACAATGAGCCTCACAGCAAGGCTACCACATTGCTCCCTTTACATATCATCTATAAGAATGGTCCAGATTTTCATATCTGCAGAATATCCCTCTCTTATACACACTGACCATCTCTCCTTCTTCACCAAAGTCTCCCTGTCTTACCTGCAACCTGCCAGAGATCTGCTGGACATTACTTGTTTAACCATATTCCTTCCAAAGCAAAGTCACGAAACATGCTGTAATGCTTACTCTGATATCTCATCCTCCCACCAACCTGCTCTCACCCACTAAAATCTTCTCCTGAGTGCAGAGCATTTAACCCCATACTGCCAAACTCCAGCATTAACAATTTCGATGAGTGTTCTCTTTTTTCTACATGTTTTTGATTTAATTATCTACAAAATGTAGCCAATACGCAAAGGGTTAAGCACGAGAGTCCTAGATATCACAATTCCTTTAACCCCTTTAAATCTGCAAAGTATGTAAACAGATTCTGTTGTCTATGACACTCCC